AGTAGTTTATTTTTACATCAGTCTTAAAAACAGTTCTGCATAGTGGTAATAGCTACATGGGATTACATTGGTAGTATTTTATATAATCAGTTAATAGTCAAGCATCAGACGCGTTTCGAGATTGAAGCTTTTCTTCTTCAGGGAGCAGCTGATGACTATAAATATATTCTGTATAATCAAACAGAATAATATGCCCAAATAGGTACTTTAAAATCAAATAAAGTGAAAATGCTGAAAGCTGCTGTTGTCTGGGCACTCTTGCATCCACCAATGCCACTGGGGTTACCCCATACAGCTGGGAACGAAGTCCACATCCAAAATAAAAGACCTAGAATTTTCTATGAATGTAACTATGACTGCCAACATGTTTTCAGAACTGTTTTTAAGATTCATGTAAATATAAACTATTCGCAATTTTTAAAATGTTTTGCCTCTAATATATTGGCTCATTGATCAGTGCTACCCATAATCCCATTGTTTCATGGGATATATAATTTTTTTTTTATGCATTAATTTTTTTGTAAGTTTGCAAACAAAATCAGCAGAGGATCAAACTTATTCTCCCCCCCCCCCCCCCCCGCAGATATGCTCTGTGTTAGCCTAAGGGTGTTTTTTTGGGGGGGGGGGGGGATTTCCTACTTGGTGAAATCATACACCCCTGCTATTACCTCTCTTTTCCTATATCTTCCTTTCCATACATGTGGGTCTTCAAAATCCTAAATTGTATGGGCAAAGCAACTCAGACAGGATCTCTTGTCTGGGACTGTCATCAAGGTTCTGCTTGGTCCAGATGTCAAACTAATATAGATTACAATTACCCTTGTGAAGCCTTTCCAGGAGCAGCCTAAACTGGATCAAGAACTGGTCATTTTATACTGAGTTTAAAGAATCGCTCATCAGCCTTTAGGTTGGTGCCTCTCTGGAGGCTACCTCAGTGACCCGAGCAAGCAAGCCAGTAAAAGAAAACCTTTTCTTCTTCCTAAAACCTGCTCCATACGCCTCACATGTATATCAGTTTTTCTTCATGTAAAAGTCCTCTTGCCAACAAGAGGACAATAAAAATGAAGAATGCTAAAATGTTAAAGTTTTGTAATGCTTAATTTAATGTAAACTAAACCCTTCTATTAGAACTCAAAATATGTGCTTACTAGCAATATACTAAATTTTCCCTTTGATACAAATTTTTGCTTAGGACACACATTCTTGTTTTTTTATTTTAAAGCCAAACTGCTAAATATACAGTTGAAATTCCTATATCAAAGCTCTCTTATCTGCCAAATGTTTTCATTTCTAGTCCCGAGGTGTACACATCCCTGCCAGACCTGATGACCTCCCTTTTTTCTGCTGCAATCAAACACAGCTCATTCATCTCTCTGCCTCCGTCCTGAGAGTGGAACGTGAAAGAGCTGCCTGGAGTTCAGCTTTAAAGCAGCCCATTACTTGACAATTGTCAAGATTGGTGTTACAAGGTGTGCCACACCATAAACATTGGTAGTAGAAACAAAAAAACATCTGGACTTGCTGTGTTTTACCACTCATTCAAATGCCTTCTGTAGACTATTGGACAGCAACAGTCTTCAGACATATGATTCCTAAGAGATGTGAAAGAGGCCATTTACATCCAATTGTAACATCCTCCTCCAAACAGATGAGTGTAGAAGCTTATCAGCAACTTACAATTCCACCCCAGTATCTCTAACTTTGCATTTTACACTATAACCAGTTGCTGCTCTATAGCAGTATATTTGTAATTTTGCACTTTCGGGCAGGGGACACGTACACAACGCCTCTGCTGTGATTTGTCAAAGCAGAAGCCGATCAGCGGGTGTCAAGCAATGGACGACCGCTGGCACCTGCTGATCGGCGAACAGACACACTAGAAGGAACTCTGCATATGTAAACAATGCAGAGCTCCGTCCTGTCAGCGGGGATGTACTGGATTTTGTTTCCCTGCAAAGCAGGGAATAAAATCCAGCACATCCCTTTGTAAATGCACCTTAAAGTAAACACAAAACACACATGTTAGGCACACAGTTAACCCTTTGATCGCCTTAGATGTTTAACCCCTTCCCAGCCAGTGTCAGTGTATATTTTTAGTACCGATCATTGTATTAGTGCCACTGGTTCCCACAAAGTATCAGTTAGGTCAGCTTGTCCGCCGTAATATCGCAGTCCCGCTATAAGTTGCTACTTGCCACCACTACTAGTATAAAAAAAAAAAAAAAATTACAGTATATCCCATAGTTTGTAGACACTAACTTTTGTGCAAACCAATCAATATATGCTTATTTGGATTTTTGGGATCAAATACCACCAAAAGAAAGCAATTTGTGGGAAAAAAAATGACAAATTTCATTTACGTACAGCAATTGTCAGTTAGTCATACAGTGCCGTATAGCAAAAAATGGTTTGGTCATGAATAGATGTAAATCTTCTGGAGGTTAAGTGGTTAACCACTTGCCGCCCTGCCACTGTAGAAATACGGCGGCAAGGCGGCACTGGCAGGCAAAACCACGTTTTAAAAAACGTGTGTTTTGTAAACAGATAGAGGGCGCGCGCGAGGCGCGCTGCCGCCCTAACTATCCCGCCGATCACCGCCGCGGATGTCAGTCGCCGGGTCACAGCCGATCCTTAGCGTCTGTTTCCCGGCGATCGGCGGTAAACAGTGACAGAGAGCACAGCTGCAGTAGCTGTGCTGTCTGTCACTTCCTTGTCAGCTCGAGGACGAGCTGGTCGAGACAGAAGAGTTTCTCTCTCTCTCGATCAGCGGTGTCCCGTGCAGTACACTCCCCCGCCCCCTAGTAAAACACTCCCCTCTCTCAGATAACCCTTCCCTGCAAAATAAAGTTAACCCTTTCCTCCCCATTGCCATTAGTACAGTGTCAGTGTTTTTCTTTTTGCACTGATCACTGTATTAGTGTTTTTGGGGATGTCAGTGACCCCAAGTCAGTACCCCCCAATGTCAGAATGTCCGCCGCAGTCCCGCCATAAGTCGCTGCCATAAGTCCCTGATCGCCGCCATAATTCACTGATCGCCACCATTATTAGTGTAAAAAAAAACCTAAAAATCCCAGTATCTTTCCCGCCATTTGTAAACACTATAACTTTCACGTAAACCAATTAATTTACACGTATTGGGTTTTTTTTTTTTTTTTTTTTTTAGCAAAGACATGTCGCAGAATGCATTTTGGCAGAAATTTATGACTAAATTTGATTTTTGCATTTTTTTTTTTTTTACTGGACATGTTTTATAGCAAAAAGTCCAAAATATTGTTTTTTTTTTTTCCTCAAAATTGTCAGCCTTTTTTTTTATAGCTCAAAAAAATAAAAAACTGCACAGGCGATCAAATACCACCAAAAGAAAGCTCAATTTGTGGGGAAAAAAAGGATGTAAATTTCATTTATGTACCGTATTGCATGACCGCGCAATTGTCCATTAAACTAGCGCAGCGCTGTATAGCAGAAAAATGGCGTAAGTTGCAGTATTTATACCATAGTATATAGTATATATATGCAGTATTTATACATAGTATAGACGCTATAACTTCCACACAAAGCAATCAATATACACTCATTGGGATTTTTTTTTTACCAAAACCATGTAGCAGAATACATTTTGACCTAAATTTATAACTAACTTTGAGTTTACTATATATTTTTTATAGCTGAAAGTAAAAATTTTTGGCCTTTTTTTGTTTATAGCGTGAAAAATAAAAACAGATGATCAAATACCACAGAAAGAAAGCTCTATTTGTGTGAAAAAAAGGACGTAAATTTTGTTTGGGTGCAGCATTGCATGACCGTGCAATTATCAGTTGAATTAGTGCAGCGCCGAGTAGCAAAAAGAGGCCTGGTCATTAAGGGGGGTAAATCTTCTGGAGCTCAAGTGGTTAAACTATACATTCCTGGAAAAGTCTACCACATATGTATAAAATGACTTAAAAACAGTTTAAATCCCACAGAATTCGATGGACAGTTGGATGAATTGTGAAACTTTTTCAAGACTAAATTTGTACATTCTGATTTAACGCCAGTAGATATCCTATGATCTAGATCAGTGGTTCCAAAACTGCAGTCGCTGGGCTGGATGCACCCTTGGCTTGCCTTTTTCTAGCCCCTGGGGCACTGTTACCCCACTGACACCAACGATGAGGCACAATTCCTCGCATCAACAATTGGCCTTAATTCCACCCACTGATATTAACAATGAAGCCATATTCTTCCAACTTATACCAATGACAAGACACTATTCCTTCCTTATACTGACCACAGGTGTTATGTCATTTTTTTTTTTTTCTTACTCCAACTGACCACAAGGCTTGAGACATTGCCTGCTCCCACTGATACCAGGGCATTTCTACTCCCACTGGCCACAGTCCACCCCTTCTATAGTCTGCAGGACAGTAGCCTGACCCTTTTCTTTATAAAATTTGGAGACCCTGATCTAGATGACAAAAAACATTCAGAAATATGACCAACAGTTCCATTTTATCCAAAACCAATGGTAAGTGTGACAATTTCATTTCAACAAATTATTTTAATCCATATTTGTTGTACATGTATTTTTTAGCAACTCTTGGAAATGCTGCATGGATAAAGAAACTTAAGTTTTCATTAAACATTTAGAAAGCCAAAAGTTTTAATTGTCTCCATGCACTACACAATAAGTGCATATTCAGAAACAAAACATTTCAAGGAAACCTGTCTAAGAAGAAATATGTAGGCATTACTGGTCTTCTGAAAATGCCAGCTGCTTGGCTGTCATGCTGACCCAATGCCTTCATTACGGAGCTGGAACAAGTAGAGAGAGATAAACAAGTCAGAATTGTTGAAAAGTTGCTCAACTTGCAGCATGCTTATTCCAGATCTGTGACTCCAAAGTAGGCCTAAGCCAGCCAGGCAACTAGCATCCTCAGATAGCAGCCCTCAAATTTTTATTCTGACAGGTATATTTAATAGATATTGAGGAGAAATGTTGATACAACAGTTAAGATTCCTAATCACGTCAAAATAGTTTCATCAATCTGTTCATCGGAGTCGGGCTGAGCCGCAAGCTTCTTCAGGGACCTGCGTTGACATTCATTTAGCATATCTAGGCTGGCTGTGTCCAGTATCTTAGTCATATCCTGTTGAAAATGAAAAAATATAAATTGGATGATGGTGAATATTTTAAGGAATGTATCATTATAACAGTAAGGGAAAATTACTATATAGCAACACGATTACGTTGGTCAACAAACAAGTTCCTGAAATACACAAATTGCCACCAGAAAGCCATTTCTATACCTTATATTGGGACACCTGCCTTTATACCCACATGCACTTTAATGGCGTCCCAGTCTTGGTCCGTAGGGTTCAATATTGAGTTGGTCCACCCTTTGCAGCTATAACAGCTTCAACTCTTCTGGGAAGGCTGTCCACAAGGTTTAAGAGTGTGTCTATGGGAATGTTTGACCATTCTTCCAGAAGAGCATTTGTGAGGTCAGGCACTGATGTCAGACAAAAAAGGTCTGGCTCACAGTCTCCTCTATAATTCATCCCAAAGGTGTTCTATTGGGTTGGGATCAAGACTCTGTGCAGGCCAGTCAAGTTCCTCCACCCCAAACTTGCTCATCCATGTCTTTATGGACCTTGCTTTGTACATTGGTGTGCAGTCATGTTGGAACAGGAAGGGGCCATTCTCAAACTGTTCCCACAAAGTTGGCAGCATGAAATTGTCCAAAATATCTTGGTATGCTGACGCCTTAGAAATTCCCGTTACTGGAACTAAGGGGTCAAGCCCAACCCCTGAAAAACAACCCCACACCATAATCCCCCCTCCACCAAACTTTACACTTGGCACAATTCAGTCAGGCAAGTACTGTTCTCCTGGCAACTGCCAAACCCAGACATGTCCATCGGATTGTCAGACAGAGAAGCGTGATTCATCACTCCAGAGAACACGTCTCCACTGCTCCAGAGTCCAGTGGTGGCGTGCTTTACACCACTGCATCCAACGCTTTGCACTGCACTTGGTGATGTAAGGCTTGGATGCAGCTGCTCGGCTATGGAAACTTATTCTATGATGCTCTCTACGCACTGTTGTGCTAATCTAAAGGTGACACAAAGTTTGGGGGTCTTTAGCTATTGACTCTGCAGACAGTTGGCTTCAGCATGCGCTGACCCCGCTCTGTCATTTTACGTGGCCTACCACTTCGTGGCTGTGTTGCTGTTGTTCCCAGTTGCTTCCACTTTGTTATAATAGCACTAACAGTTGACTGTGGAATATTTAATAGTAAGGAAATGTCAAGGATAGACTTGCACAGGTGGCAACCTATCACGGTACCACACTTGAATTCACTGAGCTCCTGAGAGCGGCCCATTCTTTCACAAATGTTTGTAGAAGCAGTCTGCATGCCTAGGTGCTTGATTTTATACACCTGTGGCTATGGAGGTGACTGGAACACACAAATCCAATGATATGGAGGGGTGTCCCAATACTTAGACCAATATAGTGTAGCTCCAGATGTCTACTACCAGAAATTAATACTGGAATAATTTAAGCCATATATGACTGGATATACTAGTTTAACATGTATGTTTCTGGACCAAGCCTTATTCCAGGACTATGCACCCAAATAATGTTACCGAAATGTGATAGCTTATGTAAAATTGCAAGCAGAGTTTTACATTAGGACTATTTTTATTGTCATATTTAAAGCAAACCTGCCTGGCCATTCAGAGCAAACTAACTGGTTTAGGGTACACTAGGCACGTTCCCTTAATTGCACTGACATAAAAAAGTCTCACAAAAATCACTGTATACATTTTAGGTTATCTCTGCATCAAATACCGAAAACTAAAGCTCCCCTCTCTCATTCTGTTGTTGAAGCTCATAGAGACTCATTCAGACACCCAGTACTGCACTGTGAGGGGCAAAGGAGCAAGTCCCTTGCTCCTCCAAATTCAGAAATGCCAGGTTTTTTGTAAATCTCCCACAACCAAACTGAGCAATTGGGTACCAAGTGGAAATAAGTATAAGCAGTGTAAAATGCCTGCTATTCAGCAAACCTGTTTCTCAACTACGGTAAAGTAAAATATAGAATCACTCTAAGTAACTTGACATATTCAACACCTGAAAAGTAAGACTTTGTATGAAGTAGACAACCATTTAAACACGGATTATTTCCACATACACAACTAGATCTCTTTGACAGGGGATTTCCATAAACACCATGTTTTTAGGTATTCGGGCATTTTGCAGCCCATTGTTTTAATGGACCTAGGAATATCTGATGTTCATCCATCAGTATCATGTGCAAGCACCCTTGAACACTTCAATTGCCTTACCTGAAATAGGTTAGTGCCCAGTCTCAATTTTAAAAGGTTCACTATAGCCTGGTCACTGTGTGCTCGAACACTCGTGTTTTTGTCCTTAGTGTTGTCTAGCAGCACCTTGAGTATTGGCTTGCTGGTCTGAGGATCTAATGGAGGCATATGATCTTTATTGGACCACCAGATCATCTTTTCAGAAATGAGTTTAATATCACTGTAAGGGTTCTGAAGACACTGTAGGAAAACACAAAATATTGATATTAACATGCAATCAGGAGAAAATGTTAGTAAATGTACACAAATGTTTTCTAAGTGCACAAGATTACAGAGAATGAAGCAAATGATTAACATGGTGCTAATCTATAGTTAAGACTTAATTCCTGGTATGGATTTTATTGCATGGATAGATTGGTCTAATTTGGACAAATATAAGTATGCATAGGTCATACTTGTGGGAACCTTGTGGAAACTGGAAATCACTGTAGCAGTCACCACTACTACAGTGATCACTGCTGTCTTCCGAGGCCAGTGCCGAGTGGCTGCCGTGCTGCATAGTAATCACAAACACTTGCTGGCTTGCCACAGGTGCCATTCACTGAACACCTTGCATTTATCTCAATTAATTCAGGGCATTCTCTGACTGGATGAGGTGGAGAGGCGAGTGGTTACATCATAAGTGCACAGGGAGGAAGATGATGTGGCAGAGGAAGATGCATCTTGGTGACTGCTGGTAGGATTAGAGTTTGGACGGCACAAAGGGTAGATACGAAACAGCTGCTTTATATTGCATATATTTCTTAAGTGCAAGTACCTGAAGTGGTGCTATACAGAGATACACCAGCTTCCTAGCAATGATATAAAGATCATAAGAACCAAGGGATTCCTGTGTTTTTGAGCCATGTTACCCTGTGCTGTTTGCCCATTTCGTAACAAGTGGTCAACCAAATTTGGTGAGTTCTACCACTGGTGTGCCACATGAAGGGTGTGAAGCACAGGCAATTTATCACATTGAAGATTTGCTTTCTCACCTTGTGGAGATGATTTTTAACCAATTCAATACCGGGCAATTTTACACCTTCCTGCCCAGGCCATTTTTCCGGTTTCAGCGCTCTCACACTTTGAATGACAATTGCAGTCATACAACACTGTACCCAAACTAAAATGTTATCATTTTCTTCACACAACTAGAGCTTTCTTTTGGTGGTATTTAATCACCACTGGGGTTTTTATTTTTTGCTAAATTAACAAAAAAAGACCAAAAAGTTTGAAAAAAAAAAAAAAAGTTTTTCTTTGTTTCTGTTATAAAAGTTTGCAAATAAATAATTGTTCTTCATAAAATTTAGGCCAAGATGTATTCTGCTACATGTCTTTGGTGAAAATAACCCAAATTAGGATGTATTTTTTAGTTTGTAGGAAAGTTATAGAGTTCACAAACTATGGTATAGATCTGAATATTGATCAATCCTGAAGTACTGACAGCCAATCTAATTTCTTGAGGTCCAAGAATGTCAGAACAGTACAGATATCCCCAAATGACCCCTTTTTGCAAAGTAGACAGTCCGACGTACTTCATAAGAGGCAAGGCGAGTTTTTTGAAGTTTTATTTTTTTTGTCATAATTTTTCGGAAAATTAAAAAATTAAAAAAATTTGTTTCACTATTTTTTTTTTTACATATTGTCACCATTGCAGTACAGCATCATCATATACCTGGCATGGCGGTTATCAGGGACACTGACTGGTGACAGTATGCAACAAAAAAATTATATATTTTTTTAATTATTTTTTATTAAATTTTTTTACTTTTTTTTAAGATTTTTTTTTCATATTTCACTATGACCAAAGTAGTACAATGTTACCATAGTAACATTGTACTACTTTGGGGAAGTGATCAGTATTTTTTTTACACAATTTGCTTATAGCAAAGAATTACTTTGCTATAAGCAAGCATTTGCCTGAATGACATCGATTTATTCAGGGTTTTTTTTTTTTTTTTGTGCTTAGCTGTGATTTGGCCACAGCTAATCACATGACATGTGCATGTGATTAGCTGTGACCATTCACAGCTAGGCAGTAGTATACAATGGATGGCATGAATGAAGCCATCCATTGTATACAACTGTCATGTGACCTGCTGTGATTGGTCACAGCAGGTCACAGGGTACCAGCAAAGGGCCGATACTCAGATCTGTCATCGGCCGTGTCCGAGGTACACTCCGTGAGGACGTCAGAGTGACGAAACGTGTAGGGCGGAGCCTATTGGATGACGTCGGGACGTTCCCTGTGGCTGTCGGCAAGGTGTCCGCGGTGAGCGGGGCTCGTCCATCTCTCTTGTCCTTCCTTGTTTTTACACCAGTGTTGGGTGGACACTTGACTTGTGAGTGGAATGAAATTTTAATAAATGTAAACGGTTTTAACTTGCTGCACCATCATGCCTTTCTTTTATTTCTGAATGGTATTGCCATACACTTGGAGGATGATCGATATATAAAGGGTCCTGGCCATACTACAGAGTATTGCTCCTGGTATCTGGATGATTTCAAACCACAGAGTTTTGCTTCATGATCTGGATTCATTCATCGCTCCCAGAGCAAATATGCTTGTGCTGATTTATAATTTGATCAGCATTGAGCTCTGGTGAGTTTATCCCATTTATCTGGTGGTGGATTAAGCACGGTGTTATAAACGATTAAGAAGATTACTTGGGGTTTTGAATTTTTCACATTAATATTTACGGACTGTTTCACTGTGGAATTTTTGTATATGTTGGATTTATGGTGTTTGGACTTTTTCTGCACAGTATATGGACTTTCTTATATATATTTAGCGCATTCCGATTTTGATTTATGTTTTACACCAAATTTGGGTTAGAGGTTTGCTGCTTTATAATATTGGTATTATTGATTGGCGCTTTCTTTTTCTTTTTTTGGTGACAGTCTACAGTGAGCTGACGCCTGCCCACTACAAAGTGTGGGAGAGGGAGGAATCCTTGGGGTAATGGTTATATCACAGACTATCCTATTTGAAATTTGCACTCACTTCCTGCTCTGGTGACAATGCTATTGCTGGGGACAGGATTGTTTCACAATGCTCTGGGTATCATTTTTTAAATTATAGTTTTCTCCAACATGCTTTTTATCATAATTACTTCATGTAACAAAGAAGTGAATTTTGCAGACCCACCTTTACAAACAGGGACACAAGCTTGGGTGGAATATTTCCATTTTCAACTTCAATGTAATATTTCATGAGGTATCCCAATCCTCGGATGCCACTTACTGCAATAGGAATCTATAAAACATTGCATAATCAACTGTCATTCAGTCAGTATCATAAACACTACAAATGTTATGGGTTTCATACAACTGAGGTGTAATGGGGCTGGGATAATTTTATTCCCAAATAAAATATAACAATATATCCTGAAGGCAACATTTAAAACGCGGTTTGTCCTTACCCTATCTGCTGTGGCATTATTTAACACCATAGATTCAACGTTACTGGAGAATTTTGGTGTGCACAACTTGCTGGAAGCTACATTAATCGCCACAGAAAGAGCCATGCTTCGCCCATGCCTAACCATCCAGTCAATTCCAGTAGCATCAGCTGTATATAGGAAAAAGATCAAAAGATTACATTTTTCTTGATTCAAAAGGACCAGATTATCATGTTATGTTCCATGACATAATGATGGCACATAACTGTCTGAAACTTTATATTATGCAAAGACAAATAATGAAATTCTAAAACTGCCCAAATCTTATATTTGGTTATGGGGGAACTGGATTGCCACCTTTGTTGAATTGATTAGTCTAAAACCTAAAATGACAAACAAGTGAACTCTTAGGCAACTGTAAAACCTGGTCTACTAACCCAAGAGATGCTGTTGTAGAACTACAGAAAGTTCTTCGTCAGGAAGAAAGGCACAGAGCTCTCCAAGGCAGCCAGCAGATGCCATACGTGTAGCATCCTGAAATTGAAACAAACAGCAGTTAAATTTTAAAGCAGTGAATGTAAAAAATAAAACACAAAGTACAGCATTAAACATGTCCAAGGGCTGGTTCACACTGGGATCACACAAAAATGTGTGTCTCGTTCCCATGAGGCGAGATTTTGCAGCCTATTCATTTGAATAAGCTGAAAACACACCAGAACATGGAGAAAGTAGTGCAGGCACTACTTTTAAAAATGTTCTGCACCAATTCTCATGGTACTGCGGTACCATGTTAATTGCTGCTCGCAAGCGCACGGAGTGCCGTTAACAATGCACTAGCACCTCCTACAGATTACAACGGCACATGCCTTTCCAGCACCGCGTTCTGTTGTGAACCAGCCCTGCAGAAGTAACAGTTCTTATTGCCACAAAGGCATTAGGGGAAAATAAAAGGGATCCATCTGGTTGACTTCTATGGACTACAAGAACGTTTCTATTCTTTCAAAGACACCAAATTAATTTTTGCTATCAAAGAAGACACAGTACAGATTAAGAAGATTACAGCTGATAGAAGGGCTCATTTAAACTAGTCGTTGAGATGCGGTAAAACCAAATGGATGAGTCACATTTCTACCGCCCTCAATATATCCCTCTTTAGCTGGAATGGCAGTGGCTGTACAGCAGGAATATTACCCCTGTTCATGTCTGGTGGGCAATACCGCCCGCAGAACACAATTAATTCAAGTGAATGTGGTTGTGCTACAACTGCCCAACAAAATGCATGCAGTGCATGTGGTTGTGGTTCGGTGGTCTGACATTAAGGGGGTAAAAACAGGCAGTGAGGAGGCGATACAAAGCCTCCGCACCTTCTGTCAAATGGTGATGCAAGTGTAAACAAGGTTTTACAAAAATAACCACAGTGACATTTAAATATATATAGATGAAAGAGTAGTTGATGCTTGGAATAAACTTCCAGCCTAGGTAGTGAGCCAGTCAACAGTAAACAGCTTCAAACATGCTTGGAACAAACATAGATCTATACTCAGACCAAACCCCGCCCAAAAAAGAAAAAAAGAAAATGGGCAGACTCGATGGACCACTCTATAATTCGATCATAATCATACAGTATGTCGGTACACATATTAAACACACTTTTAACCAACAACCAATATAATATTAACTGGTAAAGTAATGTTTCAGCTTGCTCCACATTATAAACATAATAGGAATCATAAAGGTAAGTTGCAAATTTGGCAATAACCTTTGAAGGCTGCTATGTATCGATTAAAGAATCCTTAAAGTAAAATCTAGTAGATTGTAAAGATAAAATTACCTCATCATGTCCCAAATTCCCAATCAACATGCTGACATAGTTCTTCCTTATTGTTGCATCTATTTTTCCTCCACCACCTTGAATAATGAATCGCACAGCTTGGAGCATCGTCTCCCTAAAAAATTTTCAGACATCGAATACTTAAAACATGACAGAGTATTACCTTTTTTTCTGTGCAGTGTGGTGGCAAGCGGTACACATACGCAAAATACACATCAATCACAAGCTATACTTTATATTTCGTCCTTAGACAGGGCATTACCTCACACCAGAATCCTCACTTTGGCGAATTATGTTCAAAAGTTCAGTAAAGAGTGGATCCACTTTTGTGTGGATAACAATCAGTTTCCCCAGGGCATCAGCTGCCTTCAGACGCACAGCACGATTGGAGTCTTGCAAAGCTTTAGTAAATGTGGTTTGAAGTTGTGGAAGAAAGGGTTTTAATGCAATGCCAACCTACAAAGATAAAAAAAATCCGTAATGCAGTTTTTTTTGTTAAATACCCATTTACTTCTCACAAACTAGCCTGCAATTATGTAGCAAGTTTTACCTTAGCAAGAAGAAGACTCAGTGTTTCTAGAAGGGCAACCTTCACACTCCAGCTGAACCTATCACCCAGAATGCGGATTAGTGGTCCAGTGATGCCAATCACAGAAGGCTGCAAGGCTTGTGCAGAAGTCAGCTTAATAACTAGGCCAAGTGCCTTGGTAGCCTCTTCTTTTTGTTCAGGATTCCCTGTAAGAACACCTTCCCTTAGCACTGGCAAAATTGAGGTCACCCCCTGAAAACCAATTTAAAAAGGTTACAATACAATCAACCAGCAATAAAACAGCTGAAGGTATCTGTATAATTGAATGGGCTTTGTAATACCTTCTTTGGAATACAAAATCCTGGTACATTTTCTCCTTTGGCATCATTTCCCACCATGCGAATATCTCTATGCAGGTCATCAAGTGCACATTTAAAGAAAATCCTTACTTTTGCTCATACATCCTTTTTATTTAACCCCTTTCCGCCAACCATATGTATATATGCGACCTTACAGCAGTGAGCCTTTACTCGTGGGGCATCATCTATGCTCACCTCTCTGTGTGCTGGGAGCACGCCGCACAGAGACCGAGCTCTCACAAAGAGCAATGGATCCCATACTATCGATCGGGACCCAGGACTCCGGGTTACCTGATCGCTCTGATAGCCTCTAAATAGCTATCACAGTGGTCTGTCGCTGTACAGCTCACCCATGTGTTTACATCCTTTTCTGAATGAAGAGAAAAATACATTGTATCTATCTTTCCTTGAAGGAGAGGAAGATAGAAACAAAAGTGTGTAAAAAAAAAAAAAATTAAAGATAAGGAAAAAAAAATAACTAGATCAAGTTTTGATCTAGGTCAGTGCCAGGGTTAGCATTAGGGACAAAGGTTAAGGTAGGGGTCAAAAGGTCAGGGTCAGTATATTTTGGGTATTTAAAAAAAAATAATTTTTTTCCCCAAATGGTAGTGTCAGTGTGTTTTAGGTAGGCTAAATAGAGAAAAAAAAAAGAAAAAAGGCAAAATGTCCTATTACGGGTACAAATAACATACACAAATGTGGTAATGCCATGATCGTCAGGAGCAGGAGATTATATTTTGCATTGTTTTTTGGTGGTAAATTATGGTAATAGCAAGAAATATACAGCTAAATTTAAAAAAATATATATTGTTTTTTATTAACCAGTTGCCCATCAGAGGATTTACCCCCCTTCCTGACCAGGCCATTTTTTGCGATATGGCGCTGCGTTACTTTAACTGACAACTGCATGGTCATGAAACGCTGCTCCCAAATGAAATTTACGTCCTTTTTTCTCACAAATAGAGATTTCTTTCATTCATATTTGATTGCCTGTGCATTTTTAATTTTTTTTGCGCTATAAATAAAAAAAGACTGACAATTTTGAGAAAAAAAAAACACATTTATGAGTTTTTGCTATTAAACATATCCAGTTAAAAATATTTTTAAAAAAATCAAATTTCATCATAAAATTTAGGCCAAAATGTATTATGCTATGTCTTTGCTAAAAAAAAAAAAAAATCCCAATACATGTAAATGAATTGGTATACGTGAAAGTTATAGCGTGTACAAATGGTGGTACATATACTGGAATTTTTTTTTTTTTTTTACTAGTAACGGTGGCGATCAGTGACTTATAGCAGGACTGCGGTGGTCATTCTGACACTGGGGGGAACTGACTTGGTGTCACTGACATCCCCAGTGACACCAATACAGTGATCAGTGCTAATAAAAAGCACTGACACTGTACTAATGGCACTGGGCATGAAGGGGTTAACATCTGGGGCAATCAAAGGGTTAACTGTATGCCGTTTCACTATAGGGGCTGTGTGTGCGCTTCACTGTAAGCACACTGCTTTGTATGGCTCTGCTATACAGAGCCATACAAAGCAGGGTGCAGGAGCTGACAGGAGAGAGATCTGTATTGTTTACATACAGGTCTCTTCCCCTTTGGAGATACACGGCGATCACCGGGTGCTGGCAAGTAATCACCAGCTGGGATCCGGCGATGAACAGCCGAGGCCACGAATGGCGGCACGGGTAGGGAGCACACGCCCCTACCCAGAACTGCAAAATCACACACACACACACATATATATATATATATATATATATATATATGATTTTGCGCACCCGTGCCGCCCTGTAGCAGTATTTCTGCTTTAGGGCGGCTCAAAACTGATTAACTTGGGCCAGTTTTCCTTTAATAATAATAAAAAAAAAAAACAAATCAGGAGATATCTGTTTACATTCACCTCCAAAAGAAAGCCCAATTTGTCGTGAAAAAACAAGGCATAATCCACCTGAATACACAAAGTAGTTGTGATATGTACAGTTCTACTAACACACGTCAAAGTTGCAAAATTGAGTTCAGGGATTAACGTTTTACCCTCAGTCACTAAGGGGTTAAAATGCACTTACTTTAGTGATAGCATTAAGGGCATCCCAGCTTTCATTCAAAACCAAACTGTTTGTATCATTGAACAAGCGAAGCAGTCCCGACATCAAGCCGCGAAGATGTGCTGAGTAATCAGCTTTGGTCTTTGCACAGTACATGTTTAGGATAATGGCAGCTGCCTGCCGCATTCCAACATCAGAGCTGCGAGTTGCTTCCAACAAATCTTCAATTACAATTCTCTGTCCAACATCATCTTCCACAGACAAAATAACAGCTTGACAATTTGCAAGTTCCTGAAGGGTGAAAACAAAAGCTTAAAGTAACTTAAATGGAATATTCACTATATAAATTTTGGCACCCAAGCCAAGATGACCGATTAAAAAAAATGTTTTAGAATAGTGCAATTACCGGCAAGAACTGTTAGATACCACACACACCTATTCAAACACATCTAAACAATTCCACAATTTTGTTAATCATCAATTAAACAAATGTCTAAATTGACTATCCTACAGAAGTCAGCCCCGGTTCCCAGTGGTGCAACTTGTCATGCAATTTGACAGTTCCAAAACGCATGCCAAGTCGCACCCTTTTGTTTGCAACAGAACCATTCAAAATGGTGCGATTCCGCCAGAGTCACGATGATTTTGAAATTAGTTCCTGCTACTATTTTCGTCGACATAAGGTGCAACTTGCAATGACATCTGTACATGAAGTTGCACATACACTATATTGCCAAAAGTATTGGGACACCCCTGTAAATCATTGGATTCAGGTGTTCCAATACCCTCAATGACCACAGATGTATAAAATCAAGGACCTAGGCATGCAGACTGCTTCTGCAAACATTTGTGAACAACTGGATCGCTCTCAGGAGCTCAGTGAATTCAAGCGTGGTACTGTGATAGGTTGCCACCTGTGCAATAAGTCCATCCATGAAGTCTCCTTGCTACTAAATATTCCACAGTCAACTGTTAGTGGTATTATAACAAAGTGGAAGCAACTGGGAACAACAGCAACTCAGTAAAATGACAGAGCGGGGTCAGCGCATGTTGAAGAGCACAGTGAGCAGAAGTCCCCAACTATCTGCAGAGTCAATAGCTAAAGACCTCCAAACTTTGTGTGGCCTTCAGATTAGCACAACACCAGTGCATAGAGAGCTTCAGGGAATGGGTTTCCATGGCCGATCAGCTGGCAATTGCATTTAAAATGACATTTAGCGGCTGCAAGTGAGGGAGCCTGTCTGTATACATTGCTCCCTCACTGTATACACTGCTTGCCTCCTCTCCTGCCTTTCTCTGACCCCGCTCTTTTGTTTCCTTTAGTCCTTCGAGAATGACAACTCCTTCTCTGAGCTATAGTAAAGGAAAAAAAAAAAAGCCGGTAATCACATTTAAAAGACGGCATTGTTTTTAAATGCAATTGCCGGCTTTTTTTGCTCAGAGAAGGAACTGTCATTCTAGGAGGGCTAAAACAAAGGGGCAGGGTGACATTACCCAGTGACTCCCCCCCTTAGATTCCTTTAGCTCCGGGAAAAGTGACAGCTCATTCTCTGAGCTGTAGTGAAGAAAAAAAAAAGGCAGTAATTACATTTAAAAACCAGCACTGATATTTAGGCAGCCAGTCACTGCATACACTGCTCCTCTCCTACCTTTCTCCGCCGCTATTTTCAGCGGCCGGAATTTCGGTGCATCCTTAATATGCTGGCTCATTTACTTACGTTTATGAGTATTCAAATCAAATATTTATGTTTGACTTTTAATAAATGGTAAAATATACTTTACAAGGCCAGTGTGTTCTGTTTCTTCTATTTGGTTTACTATACATGATCTGTCCAAAATCTGCCAGCCACAGTGATATTTAGAATTCAAAGAATACTGACGAACTGAGAGACAGATACAGTTCTCTTGGACTTGCCTGACGTGCAATGGCATTACTACTTAATAAGGACTAGTCATTTGCTTTAAGGGAATTATTATAGGGGCATATTAACAGTGTTTCCTTTAAGAAGCTCAAGGCCTCCTGTCTTTGCAAACATAGCAATACATAGCTGCATTTCTCAGATGCCAAGTTTCTTCCTGTATAACTTGATCCTAGGCTGGGAATGTCTAAATATGACTCTTGTAGATGATGTCCACAATAACAATCATGTAACTTTCAGAATCTAGTCAAATCAAGATCTCCAGGAAATGCTCCTCTAATGACATGAACCATATAAATCCATATGTTATGTGGACAGGACATAAACCTCTTCATGATAGGATTAATAGCACATAAATGCTGTCTGTATGGGTTCCTTAACCAAGCCACTTTTTTCAGTTCATCTGAAGAACGACATATAAATGCTATTTTACTTGGCTACATATATGTTTAGGAACTGCAATGCATTTACCATTCATCTCAAATGAAACCAATGTGGGTTAGTACTTAGAGGTATATCTAGTTTCATTTTTATTGACAGTTTTATTACCAGCTGTTCGTTCTCTGTTCCCAGCTGTGCCTTTAGTGCAGTCATTACAGCAGGTAGAATGACATTCAGATGTCTTGTTAATGCATCACCCGCCACTGAAGAAAGGAAGGCCAGGACACGAGTGTTCACAGGAGGACTTGTAAGCTACAGAAACAACAAAAGCTTAAATCTAATTATAAAAGTCAAAGGCAAACTGAGTTAGTTTCCTATTACAGCAATGGTATCAATTAACGCACCTTTGGAACAAGGTAAGGAAGCACAACACGACTCTTCACTGCCATAACCTGTTTAAGTCCGTCCAAGGCAAATTCTGAAAGCTCTTCATCATCCTATGGGAGGACATCATATAATAAGGAGACTGGGATAATATATGCAGACATTAGCAGATCGTAATAAGAAGCTTTTTTCCTCAAACATCCATTCATGGGTACAGGAAAATCTATCTACAGGAGTAAAATTCCTGAAGACCAAAAAAAAAAAAAAAAAGTCCTTCCTCCTGAGAAGGTAGGCAAACACTGATCTGTGTGATGCAGATCAGAGATTTGGCCACCAGCAGGGGGCTTCCCCTTGGGTGTACCTAGCATTCCTGCAGTGGCAACATAAAACTCATGTTATGAAGATCTGCGGTGTCCTCGAATTTCCAATTAACAGAAAATAAATATTTCCCTTAAAACCCAATACCAACATTTTTTCTTTGAAAAGTCACCCACAGCTTAAAAAAAACATAATCTTTTTCTGCACTATTTACCTCCACTTCAGTGCTATTTAACCTGGAAGAATGAGGATATACTGCAATGCAGGGCATCATGCGGCACTGACATTAACACATCAGTGCCGATGTTTACATCATCAATGACTGTTAGAAAAAGATCTAAAAATGAGGAAGGGTGAGCCTGGAGTTCAGATTTATAGTTTGATCTTTGTCTTGCTATAAATGTAATTACCAATTGTCCCAGTAAATAGGGCAGAATGTCTTCCAGTGCTTGATGACCAATGGTGGAGTGCAGCTGCTCAAAGGTTTTGGCGGCTGCCTCTCTAACCTCCTCAAGGGGATCACACAAAGCTTTCCTCACTGTAGGTACAAGGGATTCAGAAAAGAACAGTACCTGAAATGGAAAAACAATGCAAATAGTTGAGAATTAATGGGGGGGTAAAAATGCATGCTTCTGTCATATTTTAAACAATACCCACAGTTAGCAGTAAAAATGTTTGATCAGATACGTTACTGTCTTTTATCACTTACAGCATCTTTACTTGTCGATTTCATGATCTCACTCAAACCAATACACACACCCTGTCTTTGGTCACTCTTGTCAGACCTCAAGCCATCCTCCAGAATTGGAATGATCTCAGGAAGAATTTTCTCCCCAAGTTTCCGGACTAGGTCCCCAAGTGTTCTGGCTGCAATCTAAAAAAAAACAAAGTCCCCATTTAGCTTGTTATAGGGATGTCATTTTACAGCTAAGAGGAATACATGCGGTTTTGCTCACCGTTCTCTTGTCAGCACAGGTGCTAGCAAGGAATCCCAGCAATAAGTTAAAAAGAGTAGGTAAAATTTCTCTAAGTGTGCGAGGAGTGTTTGAAACAACTATTTTCCACACATGAAGTGAAGCTTGGCGCACCACCAGCTGTGTATCAGAGCGTCCCATGTACAATCCAGCTAGCACACGGTTTCTCCTTTCAGCTCCAAGTGCAGAAATGATGGCCTAAAAAAAAAATTACAAGGTAACTTTAAAAGGAGTTCAATGTTTCCAGAATATTATTTGTTAAATATTATGTTAATGCTTCACATTGCAGTATGCAGAAAAAATGCAAAAGGACTGACATTTTCAGGAGTTGAGTTGTGTCACAGCCCATGCATTTTAAATGGCCTGCCTAGCTTGATGCATACACCTCAATGCAAGAAAGCACACTGCTATTGTGCAGCCCTCTGGAGGTGTAGGGGGCCACATTGGTGGCCCTCTAATAATTTTAAGTTGACCATCACTGACTTAGAGTGCATGTCTACTATGCTATGTATAATAATGTCTGGTAGTTTACCTTGGTGGATTGTGCAGTCCCAAAGTTGTCATCTTCAGAGGCGGTCTCCGTGGTCATCTTTCCAGTCACTCCAGATATATGGAACAGCAAGTCTCCTAGAAGTTGAACAGAGCTGAACCTTATTCTCCAAAGGTCATCAAACAGACCCTGTTCCAGTTGTGGCAAGAGGAGTGCAATGGCTGTCTCTGCATACATGGTGATGACTCTTTGGCCTGCACGTAGTGCGGTATCACGTACAAACTCATTTTCATCTGCTAGGGCCTGCAATAAAATACAGCAATAGCAAACATCTTCAGCATGATTAACATACAAGGTTGGCAATACATAAACAAAGCTGAAAGCTAACGATGAAACTATCAAAAAGACAATGCAAGAGAAGAGTCCTATAAAATTTGTACAAAAGACAATGAAATGATAAAGTGATCCTATGTTATAATATAGTACTACAATAGGTAAGTTACCTTTAGAATGCAGGGTATAATAGGACCAACATAAGGTGTAAATTTGTCCCCGAAAGTGATTGGCAAATAAATGAACATCATAATGTAACCATCACGGACATGAGGCGCAATGTCTGGTTTGCTGGCAGTAGCTACAATTTCTGGCATTAGCTTTTCTAGTTTCTCAACTCCTAAACCAGCCATTACTTCTGCAAGACCTGTGGGAAGAGTAAAGGGGAAAATGTTAATTTTTCTTACATAACACTCAATATAAAACTATTTCTATACCACAGCTGTTACCTTGTGCAGCACCAGAGCGATCCACCGAGCTGAAGTCGGATGCTAGAGTATCCATCAGCCATGGCAGCAAATCTTGGAAACAAGACTCCCCTGTCCCTTTCACCATAGCACCCAAGGCCTTAGCAGACACAGTACGAACCTAGAAAGAACAGTTGATAAAGAAAAGAACCAAAGATGTTATCAGCAAGTAATTTCCATGGAGGGCAGAAAATTTGGTCAATGCCCTAAGAAACGTACTTCAGGAACAGGGTCTATAAGGGATGCCTTGAGTCCTGGTATGATACTTGGGAGGTAAGGAGCCAGGTCCTGAAAACAAAGAATGAAATATATGAATTCTAATTTCTCTTCCATGGACTAACCAACAAAATAAACAAAAGTCACTCTCCATTGTTAATGCATAATACTACTTCAAAGCCACAATCCAGGACAACTAGAAAAATAATACCTTCTGGTCAGTTAGAGAGTACATGTTTCCAATAATCTGTGCTGCCATTTTCCTAGTGTCCGTAGATCTATCTTGGAATGCCCGCTGTACTATAGGCATAATTAAGGCAAGAGAAGGAGCATCAATGAAATGAACAAACTTGGTGTCCAATAATGTTTGTAGGCACTTCTGTGTCATTCTTGAGGGGTCCGTAAGTGCATCAAGTAACACAGGACAGATAGCTTTAAAACGAGAAACAAAAACCAACATTAGCCTTATAAAGAATTGCAGTAAATCCAACGTATAAAGAAATGTTCATAACACTTTTAAAGTAAAAATAAAATACAGATATTAAACCTTTTAATATTAAGCAACTTTACAGTTACTACATCAAACAATATATTACTTTAGTGCAATACAACTTGAACTCACCCAAGATCTCTGGATTCCGAATTACAGAGCCAATCTGACGAAGGGCCTGCTGCCCAGCTTTTTGAACTTTTACGTGGGAGTCTGTAAGCACTTCAGTGAGCTTGGGCACAATACTAGGGAGACAAGAGGATAGCTGTTTTGGAGCACAGTAAGCCATAGCTCCTAAAAGCTCCACAGATCCTATAAAAAGACAGAATCATCAGGACATCTTTATTCAGTATCTCAGTGACTCATAGTCTGACATATATAAAATATTCTAATTAATGTTGGCAGATGGCTGATGAAATCCCACTACGTCTGACAAAGCCAACAATAAAATACATATAAAGAATTACCCGCTTTAGTTCTCCAGGATTCCTCCTCAAGAGCCACCAGAAGGGATGGCAATACAAGCTTTACACCGTGAGCACTGAGATTACTCATTACTGCCTTGGCACATTCATCTGCTGCCTGAATTAGAGAGAAATGGCATTCAAGGATTTCAACCACTATCTGCTTTTTTTTAAAGTATACAAATCCTGTAAGATCAAGACTTACCTCTCGCACATATTGGTTTCCATCACCAAAGCACAGCAAAAGATGAGGTAATACATGAACCACATATGGCTCAAATAACTTTCCTAACATATTACAAAGCATCTCGAACGCAAAGAGGGCCCCTGGGGAAAACAAGAGAGAAAGTCAGCATTGGATGAATACAATTATCTCATTTGGCAAGTGCCTATAAAATTACTTTCTTACCTTCCCTACGTCGGAAGTTTTTTTTATCTTGAATCGCTTCTGTCAGGGTTGTCATCATCTCCTGCTGTTTCAGGGAAAGAATTCCCAAACCCTTCACTAGCCCGGCCAAACCATAGGCAGCTCCTTTTCGTTCTGCATATTTATCGGATTCTAGAAGAAGGGCCATTAGCTTTTGGATCATACTACCGGCATCATCCTTAATTGCTGGCACCAGGGGAGGCAGACAGCTGGCAACTGATTCCTGAACCTTTAAAAGACAGTAATAGAAGATCATAAGCGTTTGTCTGAAGGAAATGCTAATCAGAATGCAAACGTTGAATGAGAAAAAAAATACCTGTTGTGATGGCGTTGAGAGCGCTGCTATAAGTTTGCCCACAATAGGTTTAACTTTAGGATCACTTTTGTCCAAGTGTTTGGCCAAGGAGCCCATGAGAATGACAACACTCTGACGAACAGCATCATAGCTAGCATCATTTGGTGCATTCTTCAGGAATTCTTCAAACACTGGTAGTAAAGAGCCAACACAGTCCTGAAAATTAAAAATATTTATCAACAGTAAGTTGAGAATTGTATATATAACCAGAAATTCTTACTAAATGCAGTAGAAGGCATTACAAATGCAGTTAGGTTGTCATATTTTTATGCAAGACTTCCATCACCTTTCCATGTGTATTCAGTGCAGACAAAGCAGCATCCAGCATACATTTTCTGACATCAGGGTGACGATCATTAAGGGCATCAGGGACAAAGAACTGGAAAAGCGGTTTAACTTGAGAGCTGTCAAGATACTGAGCAAGCTGGTTTAATGCCAAAGCTAGGCCACACCTATGAAAATGCAGAAACCGTAAGTCTGTATTTCCAATGTCACACATAAAGAAACTCACATTTGCAGACAGAGCTAATAAAGGTCTATTTTAATCACCAATTGTGACATTCACCGAATGTTCACTGTATGTTCTTACTGGTGCAAGTGTTTTATATTTCAGTCACTGATTAATCTGCAGTGAATGTTTGGTAATGTCACATTTAAGATGTTATAACTATAACGCCTAGATTTAAAAGGATATTTAAGCTTTGTAAAAAAAAAAAAAAAAAACAAAACAAAACAAACATGTCGGGCTTACCTGCTCTGTGCAATGGTTTTTTGTTTTTTTTTTTTTTTTACAGAGCTACCCCGATCCTCTTCTTCTCAGGTCCCCCTCCAGCGCTTCTGGCTTCTCCCCTTTGACCAGTGCCCCCAATAGTTAGCCGTTTGCTATGGGGGCAATGTTGCATGCTTGCTCCCAAGCCCCGCTCTATGTTTCCACAGGACACAGAGCCATGACTCGTCCCCGCCCCCCACTCCTCCTTGGCTCACTGGCTGTGACTAACAGCAATGGGAGGCAATGGCTCTTACTGCTGTGTCTCAGCCAATGAGGAGAGAGAGAGATCTGGGACAGCTGAGGCTCTAACGCACACCGCTGGATCGAGAGGGGGCTCAGGTGAGTATTAGGGGGCTGTGGAGGGAAGAGCACACAGAAGGTTTTTTTACCTTCATGCATACAATGCATAAAGTTAAAAAAACCTTCAGCCTTTACTACCACTTTGAAGTGTAATGTCAGACAAAATTTTTGTTTACATTTTGGACTAAGACAGGTTTATGTTCTCCCACTGGGAAACAAAAAAAAAAAAAACGAAAAAAAACGAAAAACTTTGGCTCAAGTTATATTATTTAATAGTTACTTTACATTTTGCATGCAACTTTCCTAAATGATCTAGAATTAGGGAGATTTTCCTAACAAGCCTGGGCAATTGGCAATAAACGGAATTACAGAAGCACTACAATAAGTACGTAGAAGGAGAACTAGTACAATTTGTCTGAATACACAGCTGTTAGGCGAAAGTATTGTATTCTCACAGAACTGCGTTTTATGCAATTAGCAAAAAATCTGCTGTATGGAGTCACTCTGAAAAGGCTAAGTTGTGGTGATCTGTGGGAGGGTGCTGATAAGCAGATGCCACTATAATGTTGAATAACAGGCAGGTATGAGAGGACACCAACACAACTCTAATCTTGGACACTATAAAGTAAACTATTGTCATTTGGTTTGTCTAGGATCCATACTACCATACTCACTCAAAAATAGTGGTGCACCAAAATGAAAATTCTGGTGCCGAAACTGAAAATTCAGGATGCACTTGGCTGAAAACCGAATATGTGGGGGTGGGGAGGCTCAAATTTGTTTTGTATTTTTTTTTTTTCTCTTCAACTTTTAATATGTTTTTATTTTTTTTTTTGTAACTTTTTATTTTATTGCTATCACATAGGGGACCAATAGCATATAAGTGACAGGTCCTCTTTGTAGGGGGGAAGGGGTGGGGGCAGTATGTGCAAGGAGGGGGCAGGATAGCAGAAGTGTATACAGGGAGGGAGCAGTGTATAAAGACAGGCTGCCTCTCTAACCACCGCTAAATGTCACTGCCGTTTTTTAAATACAATTACCGGCTTTTTTTTTTTCTTCACTATTGCTCTGAGAAGGAGCGCGGTCATTTGCCCTGCCGCTAAGGTAAACAAAGGGGTGGGATAATAAAAAAAAGCCGGTAATTGCATTTAAATAATGGAAATATTATTTAGCAGCGACCAGTGAGGAAGCCTGTCTGCATACAACCCCTTGAAATTTTCCACATTTTGTCTTGTTACAACCAACAACGTAAATATATTTTATTGGGATTTTATGTGATAGACCAACACAAAGTTGCACATAATTGTGAAGTGGAAGGAAAATGATAAATTAGTTTTTTTTTTTTTTTATTACAAATAATTATCTAAAAAATGTGGCGTGCATTTGTATTCAGGGCGGGGGACCTTTTGTTTATTGTAGCTGCAGGCGTATGACAGCCCCATCTCGGAGTTATAGTGAAGAAAAAAAAAAAAAAAAAGCTAGCAATTGCATTTAAAATAACATTTATCGGCTGCAAGTGAGGGAGCCTGTCTGTATACATTGCTCCCTCACTGTATGCACTGCTTGCCTCCTCTCCTGCCTTTCTCTGACCCCGCCCTCCCCCCCATCTGCAGTACACACAGCCCCCCCAAAACCCCTGGCCAAATAGACAATTCACCCCTCATTGGGGCTGGGTCTCATAATCGGCACCTGTATCAGCTCACTCTTTCCTTTCGGCAAAATACAGATAGGGCTATTTTCAGCCACCAAAATTTCGATGCATCTCTACTCAAACCGTTTCCTGCACGTCTTTAGACCTGCTCCCTTATGGCATATAGTATATTTACTGTGGAATTCATACATGCTACAGTACCCTTGATTGTATATGACATTTTCAATACCTTGCTTCAAATTGGTCAGGAGGAGATTCTGATATTACTCGTCCCAAAGCATCAAGAACAGGTGGTGGTCTCTAAAGAAAAATAAAAAATACTCAATTAAAAAGACACACTTATGTGATCCTAAACATCAGAAGCTGGTAAAAATCTGCACATACGATTAGGAGATCCTGGGACACAAAATAGCATGCTTAAACTGAAGTGGTGACTACTTCATATCTCAGTTATGTAAACCTAATCTGAGTAACGTGTGCTTTTGAGTCTCAACCAGGCCACACAGTGAGTTTAGGGGAGGTTGTCCTATGTCTCCAAAATATAGAATTTAAAGGTAAGTCAGAATTTCTCTTATCTTAATTGTACAATACAGAACACAGGCAACCTATTCATACACCGTGGTTCATCCCCAAGGAAGAATACAAAAAGTGGGAAACAACTAGGCAAACTAAACTGTGCCAAGAGGTCCAAAAAGCAGAGGTCAAAGACCCAAGTTCAGAGAGCTGATGGAAGAACCTTGTGGCCCAAAGCTGCATCTGCAAGATTTTGAGAAGTGTGAACAGAAGACCAAGTGGTGGCTTTACACAGTTGGGCAACAGAAGCTTGGTGCCTAAAGGCACAGGGAACTGGGAATCTGTTTGTCTAACAGAAGCATTAGCATCCTTCATCCTCCAGGAACTGCCTGAATGCTCTCGCCACATGAGGTCGGACATTGTCGTGCACCAGGAGGAACCTAGGACCCACTGCACCCAGCGTAGGGTCTGACAAGGATTTCAATTCGATACCTAATGGCAGTCAGGGTGCCATTGTTGCCCATCTAGTGCTCCCATTGTTAACACAAAAGCAGCTCAAACTGATTAACAACCCCCTCTGCTACTTAACTGACCAGATCAATATGCCAGGAGCTTACTTGACTTGATACTATGCTCTGATTAAAAAGTGTTCCTTTAAATTTTTTTGATATATACAGTTGTGTTCAAAATAATAGCAGTAAGACATCCTGATCAATCACTGTTTTTGGTAGAAATTATATTTTCTACATGGCAAATAATTTACTAGCAGGTGTAGTAGAGTAATAGAAATCCAACAGTCATGACATGCATGCTGCTGATTCTGTGTAATTGAATCACTAATTGAAAGGGGCATGTTCAAAATAATAGCAGTGTGGAGTTCTATTAGTGAGGTCATTCATTCTTTGAAAAAACAGGTGGCAATTATTGCCCTTATTTAAGGAAGGAAGGCAGCAAATGTTGTACATGCTGGTTACAGTGCATTTCTCTCTGAAATTCTGAGGAAAATGGGTCGTTCCAGACATTGTTCAGAAGAACAGCGTACCTTGATTAAAAAGTTGATTGGAGAGGGGAAAACATATAAAGAAGTGCAGAAAATGATAGGCTGCTCAGCTAAAATGATCGCAAATGCTTTAAAATGGCAACCAAAACCTGAAAGACGTGGAAGAAAGTGAAAAACTACCATTCAAATGGATAGAAGAATAGCCAAAATGGCAAGAACTCAGCCAACAATCAGCTCCAGGAAGATCAAAGAAGGTCTAAAGTTACCTGTGAGTACTGTTACAATTAGAAGACGCCTATGTGAAGCCAAGCTATCTGCAAGAAGCCCCCGCAAAGTCCCACTGTTGGAAAAAAGACGTGCTGAAGAGGTTACAATTTGCCAAAGAGCACATTGACTGGCCTAAAGAGAAATGGCGCAACATTCTGTGGACTGATGAAAGTAAGATTGTTCTTTTTGGGTCTAGTGGCCGGCGACAGTTTGTCAGACGACTCCCAAACACTGAATTCAAGCCACAGTACACTGTGAAGACAGTGAAGCATGGTTGTGCAAGCATCATGATATGGGGATGTTTCTCATACTACGGTATTGGGCCTATTTATCACATACCAGGGATCATGGATCAGTTTGAATACATCAGAATACTGGAAGAGGTCATGCTGCCTTATGCTGAAGAGGAAATGCCCTTGAAATGGGTGTTCCAACAAGACAACGACCCCAAACACACCAGTAAACGTGCGACATCTTGGTTCCAGACCAGCAAGATTGACGTTATGGAGTGGCCAGCCCAATCCCCAGATCTTAATCCAATAGAAAACTTGTGGGGTGACATCAAAAATGCAGTTTCTGAGGCAAAACCAAGAAATAGAGAAGAACTGTGGAATGTAGTCCAATCATCCTGGGCTGGAATACCTGTTCACAGGTGCCAGAAGTTGGTTGACTCCATGCAACACAGATGTACAGCAGTTCTCAGAAACAGTGCTTATACAACTAAATATTCATTAAGTGATTCAAAGGAAAGCAAAATATTCAAACATTTTTCAGTTTATATAGTGAATGTTTGAGTTTGTAAAGAGGAATACAAACACTGCTATTTTTTTGAACAGTCTAATATTCACTTTTCTTCAATTTTTTTTTTAGAGGAGCAACACAAATTTGATATATTTTTCTTCATGTTTTGATTTGGAATAGAATGTGTAGTGTTCCCAATGCATTTGTGTGTATGGAAATAAAAGCTATTAGAAGGATTTTAAGCTTTATTCACTTTTTTCAACACACTGCTATTATTTTGAACACAACTGTATGTATATATATATATATATATATATATATATATATGCGCCACTGTGGAGACATTGTCTGTTGATACTGGAATTAGAAAGGGGGTCCAGTTGTGGAGGAATAACTGGACTGCTCTGAGCTCCAGGATATTGATGGGGAGTTTGGTTTCCGCTCTTGACCATGTTCGCTGAACTGGTAAGCATTGGAGAACTCCTCTCCACCCTGACAGTCTTGCGCCAGTTGTAAGAACTTTACAACTGTAAGGAAGGAAAGATTTTACCACTGTTAGAGCTGAAGTAGTGATCCACTGGGACAAGGAAGTTTTTGTCTGGCTGGATAGGAGCATGCATAAGTCCAGGGAAAGAGCATGATTTATGCTAACAGAATGCTTAGTCGGAGAGTCCTTGAGTGGAGTTGGGCAAAAGGTGCTGCCTTGTAGCAGGCAACCAATGGACCCAGATCTTAGTGTGGGATTTTGCTTGGACCTCAGTTGTCAAACATGAGTTCTTAGAGAGAACTTTCTTTTTTGGATGAAAGATTTTGTTTGGGATATATCAAGGATCTTACACAAGCATTCTAGGTGCAGGGAAGGCCGGACAGCAGATTTCTTGAAACTGATCACCCAGCCAAAAGCCTTCTGAAGCAGCTAAATTGTGTTTTGGACATTAGCTGAGAGTTGCAAGGGATAGAATTCTTCATCAGAAGGTCGCCAGCCCCTTGTATGCAGGGCCGTAGATCATTTTTTTTTTTTTGGGGAAGGAGGGGGGGGCTGAGGGGTGGCTGGCTCAGCCTTGGGCACCTAAGGAACAATAATTTAACAGCACGCCTGCCATGATGGGACAAATTGTGGTTGTTGCAAATTGCACTAAAAATGGGAGGGGGCTTAAAACTTGACCCAATTCCCTGTGTAATCAGTAACATATAACAGTTCTTTTACTCAATAAATGTGCTTTAATTACTGTGCTACAAGCAAGAGTCTAACAGACATGTACAAACTTCAGCATGTTTATCTGTAAAATATGAAACTCTTCCATTACATATGCTTTTCTGCACACAGTCTACCATGAAGCACTTCATTAACAGTGACTGCTGAGCAACCAGCATCTGTTGTACAATATAGTATAAATAATGCTGGAGTCAGGAATATGTCATATATATGTCATGTGCCTAACATATGCAATCTCCTTTAGGTAGAGCTCTGCTGTCACAAGGATTTGCTGCCGCCAGTAAACAAAAATGAAACAAATAAGGGTGGTTGAAGGCCTTTCATCACAATGATTCACAGGAAGCTTTGTCTTTTATCAACACATACAAAGCTGAGGGGGAGATAGTGTTGTTATCTGCCCACCTCAATCAATTAGAGGAAGCCTTGTATTTGTTGATATATTACAAGGCTTCCTGTGAATGGCTGAGCAGCACCCAACCTGAATTTTGTACTGGGAACGGGGTGGAAAGTCCCCATCCTGCTGCCAGAACACAGCGCTGTATACTGTATGTAGGTGATCTGTTAGTGAGGCAAATAGTAAACAAGGAGTTAGGCTTCATTGTCTGATTTCTAAAGAGGTAAGTCTGTCAGGCTCTTTACAGAGGGGCTGAGCCTCAATTTTACTGCCCCTTGGCCACCCACCTAAAGTCTAAAATCCAGCTTAAGCAGGCCTTTCACATGCCACCTTCAGCTGCAGAAAATTGAACGTGGAACGTCGAGATGACTATCAAACTTGATTCCATTCAAGTCAATAGTGCTGTGCCACAACCATGAACCAAACCCCATTACAAAACAATTTGTCAGTAAGGAAGACCTCCTCTCCTTCAGTACAAACCATCCTCCCAGCTCACCCCCTCAGTACATTAGCACCATTATAAACTGCCATTTGGCCTGCAGCCGCTTAGCGGAACACTGAAAAGCGATCATTTTTTCAGAGCTTTGGCTAGTGTGAAACAAGCCTAACACTCACTGTAATGCAAACCAAATTCCTGTCCTTTTAACTAGGTGACCATAAGTTGACACCTATGCTGCACATGTGTCATGTTGCTTTCACTCGGTAAAAAGGCAGGAATATGGATGGCATTACCGTGAGTGTTATTAAAGCGAGGTACAGTCTATTTAGAAGTTCCCTGTTACTCCTTTATTCCTACTGGGGAAAAAATCACTTTCTTGCTCTCTCTCCACTCACCTTGAGGGAGCTTCAGTGCTTCCAGTTCAAGAGCCTGTCTACAGGCTTTTCCCCACATCACAACCGCCACTCCATCCCACACCGGTACTGACAGGAAACTCATGAGATTCACATTTACTTGCAGTGATGGACAGTGTACTTTGTGTACCCATTGACTAAGGAGACAGCAGGAGGTGATGCTGCACCACCGCTTGCTGCCTCCTCAGCCAATGGGTAGCTGAAGCTGACTACGTCCTTCCCTCCTGACATCACCCTACACCAGGGGTAGGCAACTTTTTGAGCACAGTGTGCAGAAAAATGTTTTCAAAGAAATTCAGCGTGCCAGATACATTAAA